AAGAAAGCTCTCAGTCCCTAAATTCTCAGGCTCATAAGTTTCCTGAAGAAGCCATCTAAGCACAGATAGCTTTTCATTTGAAATCTCAGATTGAATCCCAATGTTGTAACACTGCTCAGTTTGCAAACCAATGATCTGGTTTGAAATCTTCACTTGAACGGACTTGAGAAGTTCAGAAGAGGCACTTTCCTGAATCAAAGGAACCCGGAAAAAATGAATAACCTCTGTAGTGGGTTTCTCAACCAAGCTTGACGCCTCATCTACTGGACTTGCCACCACCTCACAATCCACAGCTCTGGCCTTGCTTGATGCACGACATCTCAACGGAACATATCTTCTGCTTGAATTAACTGATCCCACAATCGAACTTCGCAGCATCCCCCACAATCCACGCCGTTTACAGTGAGCATAGCTCTGCAAAAACAAATTCTGCCTACGCCCACCCTGTCAAAACCAAACAAGTCTTCGTCAGCAAAGTAAATATGAGAAAACACCTATCAATACTGACTTCTCAAGCTCCATTATGACTTTTTCCAGAAGCCAAAAAAACGAACCAAAAGAAAACAAAACATACGTGCAAGAACTCGGCGGCAGTAATTTCCCTGGCACCGGCCATTCAGCAGACCTACGAAAAAGAAGGAAAAGTTGTCTGTAAACACCGAAAAGATCCGCTATTTCCACTTCCAGCAATAGAACTGGACATAATCTCTAATCTCTACATGAATATGCAAAAGAAGACTGAATCGATCAAATCGTTCAAAAAATCCGAGAATGAGTAAGAAAATGAAACGCTTAAGCTGTAGCTACTCACGGCGGCGGCGCAGAGGAGATGCGGTGAGATTGAGAGAGGGAGCAGCGAGGGACGGCGGCGGGCGGCGGAGGGTTTTTGATTTGCGACGGCGACAGAGGGACTGAAGAAGGGGAGGGATGCTCTGAGCATAAAATCTTTAGAAGGCAATTTTCACGCGAGATGAGGGCTTGGTTCTTTTGTTTTATTTTTTAATTTTATTTCAATAAGTACTTTTTTTTCTTCTTCTTCTTTTTGCTCTCTGATTTTGGAAAAATTAAATTTTGTGAAAATATAAGTAAAAATGATAGAAATTTCTAGAAAAATTATAAGAAATAAATATTTTACTTTTCTTTTCTTTTTAAATAAATTAAAAATTATTAGTATTAATATTAGGTTGATACTAGTGTTATTTTATTTATATATCTTTTATATTTTGTCTTTTCTTTTTCGATATTATGGAAATTTTGATTTATACCTCCATGTCGATGTCAAATTCATTAACGTATAGCAATATTGAAGTAACGAGTTAATTCTTAAACTTTAGTTTGTACCGATATAGTCATTGTACTATCAAATTGGTAATCTAAAATTTGTAACGATTTAGTACATATTATGAAAAATATTTATTAAAATTTTATAGAGTTTCTTATATACGTAGATCGAGATAARTGAACAAATGTATATATTTCAAATGTAAAATAAAATAAATATAGAAATGTTAAATTGTTGTATAATAAAAATCGATACTAGTTTTAATGAGATTTTTCACCATGTAGACTAAATCGTTATAAATTTTAAATTACGGATTCTAAATTACTAGCTATCAAAGTTCAATGACTAAATTGTTACTAATTTGAAAGTGCACAAACTAAATCGTTAATTCAATCAAAATACATCAAAAAGATGAAAAGTTTTTTCTTTTGTCCTTAACCTTTTTAATTTTAGATTTTTTAAAATATATTTGAAATTTGGTCCAATCTAAAGGACAAAAATAAGTTTTTGAACTATTTTTTTCTTTTAGTTTTGGCTAGGTTTTAGAGGCTGTTTTTTAAATTAGATTAGACGAAGAAAAATGTTAGTAAATTAACATCACTTTTGTTTATTATTAATAATGGGTGAGATCACCGTCAAAGAAAAAAATGGGTGAGACAATTTTTACTTCAGTGAAATTAGGGCATCAAATTGAATCATAAAATGGTTATAAGCGGTGAAATTAATATTCTTTTAGAAACTAAACTTAAAAAAACTTCACGTTAACTAACTAATAAATTAACAAAATACCTAAAATCAAATCAAATCCCACTGTGAAAATTGAAAATACCTTAACTTTAAAAATAAAATTAAAAATTAAAAAAAATACTACCCGACTTTGCTTAATTCAACTGGTTAAATTAACACTTATCTTTGACAATAACATCATAAGTCGAAATTATAAGAATGTTCGTAGCTAAATAATTATATGAATCTTAAAGAAAATGATGAATTAATTGAATAGTTATTGTCGTATTTTTTAATACATAATGTTTTTTTTCAATAATTAATACATAATAGTTGTTATTGTTAACGAATACTAAAAATACATTAATTACATCAACGTCACATTAGTCTATATCCACACATCATGTATGAACTATATGATATAATATAATTAAAGATAGTTGAATTCTTAAGCCTTATTATTTTATCAATATCTATTAGTTTTAAGGAAGTGATAGAAAATGTAGGATGTATTTGGTAGTGTTCTCATTTATTTGTTTGAGAAATATAAATATTTGGTACCTATTTTTATTTATCGTTTCTCATTTTCAAAATACGTTTCTAAAATTGTGTTGAAATTTTGGTTCATGTTTATAATTTTTTTAATATATAAATAAAAACATTATTTTGTTAYCATTGAATTATAAAATGCATAATAAATCTTTTTTTAGTACAAATACATGATACATTTTAAAAAGTAAATCTAACCTAAAAATTTTGAATATTTAATTAAAAAAAAATTTCATATAAAAATTACTCTTTAATTTCAAATTTTAGAGAGCTGGAAATAAGAAATGTTTACCAAAACATTTTCTATTTTTTTCAATAAAAAGAAAAGAGAAAAATAAGGAACAAACAACGGTTACCATTTTATTTACTAAAATAACGAAACAGAAAAAATTAAAAAAAAAAGCATAAACTTTACCAAATGAGCCCTTAATTTATTCCACGAAAAGTGAAACCTGAAAAAAACCCAAATATGATGAGAGGTGTAATCTAATTTAAAAGTATATTTGAAAATATAGTATGATTTTAAGGAGTATTAATCACCGAATATGTATCAAGGTTTCTATATTTCAAGAATTATTAATTTAATAATTTTTCTGTCAAAGCGAACATAGCTTAGTAATAATTAGTATATATCTCAAATCAAAGGATTATGAGTTCGATCCGTACCCCCACATGTTGTACTAAAKAAAAAAAATCAATACTTTTTTCTCTATTAAAAATCAATACCATTAAATAATTATAATAATTACTAATAGATCTATTTTATTTTATACCTAAAAAATCTATTTTATTTTAAAGTAAAGTTACAAATTTGAATTTAATAGTTATTGCCATATAAACAAAAAGAAAAATAGGGAAAAAGTATTTAATATCATGTTTCTATAAAAATGTTACAATTTTWTTAAAGRAATTTCTAGCTAACTTTGTTTGTTTCACACCTCTGTTAGCTTGGAGATTTAATCCCCTATTCTAAAGGTATTACTAAAAAATTAACTATTTTTAGAAACATTATGAAACACATTTTGGAATCTCTTGGCCAATGATTTTCTAGGATGGAAAATTTCTTATTGGCCAATGTTTAAGTATTCTATACCCTTGCARGTAGGACAAGATAGTAATATTCATTACTATATTGACTCTTTGACTCTTAAAATTTGTTTGCTTAACTTTTAAAATTAAACTTAAAATTTGAAAATATTTTTTAAAATGGATAAGAAAATAAAGAAATAAGTAGATAGAAATAGTAATTATAAGCTAGARAAATTTTAGTGTTCTTCTAAACGTTAAAGGACAAAAATAAAGAAATTAGTAATTTTTAAAAACAAATAATAAAAACGAAAATGTTATCCARGAGTCTTAAAAAACAAGTTGTTATGTAAATAAACTTGAAAAGGGTTTGCTTAATCTAAGTATAAATAGAATAATATAAACTAGGAATATTAGGATTGACAGCAACAAGGGTAATTCAGGACATTTTTTTTAATAATGTTGCTTTTAAAACTTTTTCCAAATGACAATTTTGTTCAGAAATCTACTTTTTAAACAAACTTTAAATTAAATTAAATTAAAAAATTAGCAAAGTCTTAAAATAAATCAATTTAACTAATCACGTRTTCAAGATATAAATTAAATCTATCATAAAATAAATTAAATCAAATSATATCTTTCCATAAATTGACTCAACACTTTATTAAGTTGCAGAGAATGGAATAAGCATACATTTTACTAGAATCCAAGATAGATTTAATTTTTTTTAATTTAAAATCTTTAATAACAATTAGATAAATTGATTTTTTTTTATTAGTCGGTTTTTAAGATTTTGTTAAATTTTTTTAGTTAAATTTAATTTAAGGTTTGTTATTTTAATCGATTTTTTCATAATCCATTTCTTTTAAGATTTTTTTAGTTAAATTTAATTTAACGTTTCTTTTAAAAAATAAATTTCTTAATAATTGGTTTGTTAAGATTTCGTTAGATTTTTTAATTTAACATTTATTTAAAAAAAAAAATACAGGGATGATCGTCTCTTCACATATTAAGATTTAGTAAAAACAAAATCCAGTTGTGCACGTGGTTTCTCCAAGAGACACATCATCAGGTAGACTGACAAACTATTTTGATACATTATTTTTGGAAATAGTTCGTGGAGAATATATTTTTGRAAAAAATTTTAAAGACATTATTAAAAAAAAATCACCCGTAAGTCACCGTAGACTTAGTAACAAGAAACAAAGCAGTGAGAATATTTGATTGGAGTAATGGTTAATGAATATTGTATAGTCACAATTGGTACTGTTGTTTCTGCCACTTAAATCATAATCTACTCTTTTCATTTCTCAAATTTAAGGCTAGACTATAATTCTTTGTTCTAAACCCAGATGGAAAATAAAATGCTATTTTAGTAAGAATTATATTAAGCTCATGGAAGATTGGGCAGTATATATATGTGTGCGCGGCAGGTTTTAGTAAGTTTCAGATGTCGATTTGAGATAACTCAACTGGAGGTTTTAGTAAGTTTCAGATGTCGACCTGAACTAACTCAACTGGTTAAAGCATGTACCTGAAAAAAAAAAAATTGAAGATTTGAATTCTCACTAGTTCAACTCAAGAAAAAAGGCAAAAAAAAGTTTTAGATGCTAACCTCATTCCCGTGGTTATTGGCTGTTACATTTTTTTTCCTCTCGAGATGAAGATATCGCCAAATGGAACTTCTTGGTTGACTTTCAAGAAATCCCCTGAAGCTAGAACTAGATGAGAAACAAGCAACAGCTTCATTTACTAATTTATTCTTTAGTTTAATATTAATTTCAATTCATTTAAATTTCTAAAAAAGATGTGGTTTAAACGCTATTTTGGTTTGGTTGATGTAATTACAAAACTTTGATTTTGGTACCAATTAAAAACATTGAAAGAGAATCACATAGGAATACAAATTAAAAATGCAACAAGGACCAAAAATACTTTTGAGACTTTTTACAAATTAGAAGAACAGCACAGCAGAAGGAGAGTGGAGAAAAAGAAAAGATACCGCAAGTCTGATAGAAGAGAATGGCAGCTGCTTTGCGGTTCATTCCTGCAGCCAAGTGATTCAAAGATTCCTCTGGTGCGGCCCCTGGCGTATCAAAGTGTGCCTTCATCTGCCTTTAGCATTCAAATCGTCAACAAGGAGAAGGATTAGATTGTTAGTAATCAATGATCAAACAATTAAAAAACACACTTCAGATCAAAAAGAATAGGGAAAAGAAAACAAAAGGAGAGTTACAATCGAATGGAATCGGTTATCTTGTCAAAACCAGAATTCTTGATGGCTGGTTGAGTTTGTGTGGGTGCTGTTTCTACTAATAAGTCTGTGAAATCAAATTATCAATTATAATGTGTACATTTCAACTAGATAGAGAAATGAGTCCTAAGCGATGGTTTAGGCCACAAAAAGACATGTGTTTTACTTACCTGGATCATTTTCAGACAACCCTGCTAACTTGAAATTTGTATCAGAGTGATGTGGATGCCATTGATGCTCCTCTGCTACAGATTCTAGACCCCCACTACTTTGTCTCGACGAAGAGTACGGCCTTTTCTTGTTGGATCTATTCACCGTTAATACTTCAATCACGGTGTTGTAAATGCATAGCAAATTCTTATTTTGGATTCAAAAGAGAATTCCTAGAAGTTTATGAACTACTAACCGTACAAAATTGGTCTCTGAATTATATGAGAAGACACCATGTTCAGATGCTGAGCTTGGAACTGATCTGACTCCATTTCCTATTTATTCAGATGACAATAATTTTTTAAACAAACCAACAGAGATGGAATGCAATATTTGACATTTTAAGCTGAGATGAAGAAATACTGACCCGAATTTCTAGGTGTAACCACCTGATTTCTTTCGGCCAGCCCCATAAGGTTATCCATGAAGTTGGATCTGAGTTCTTCTGGAACGATGTCAACTTGGATATCACCGTTGATTGGTTCTGTCCTTAGCTTCTCTATGGAAGCTCCAAATGATTGAGAACCAACTCCACTGTGGTAACCTTCAAAAGGCTTCATAATTCACATTTAAGTAAGAGAGAATTGTATTCGTCCAGCACTGAAAATAAATATGTAGAAATTGGTATTAATGGCTTACAAAATCAATATCATCTGGAAAGTTTACACTCTCTGGCCGTGAAGACAATGATGGCTCAGGAGGTTGGGGTGCCGAGTCCCTTCCTACAAAAGACAAATGCCCAAATTTACATTTTCCCCCAAATACTATAAATGAAAATATAATTTGTGTGGTACACCGACCAGAAGATGAGTCATGGGGGTGTCGAATACTTTTCATCCATAATTGTAGCAGAGGAGCTGGATAATAGACTTCTCTACCTCCATCTGTGAATAAGTTACCACTTAACACCACAGGTGGAAGGTCCATGAGAACACTTATCTTAATAGAGGACATTGCACTTGTTCGCTGCCACACAAGAACATGAAATTGAACAATTAGAAGTGTACTCTTTACATAAATCTACCAATGAAGATCAAATAAATTGAGAAGTAACCTTTCTCTTCCTTCCCCTTCCAGAGTTTAGATCCGACACATCTTGAAGCCAAGATTGGTATATGTGTCCAGGAATGATGGTCTGTTCATAGTCCATGTGAGACGCTGCTGTTCTTTTTGTTTTCCTTCTTATTGCCGCCTGCTGCACCTGATGTGGAATTGATACACTTTATTGTCTGGTTAAGTCTGTATTGTGTAATTATTGTATTATTCATAAATTATACTAGTAGAATACATGTCTAAGTTCCTTGGACTCGTAGGTTTGTTGAATGACATTGCGTTCAAGATGTTGCTCTGGGATTTCAACATCATGAAAATGTGGATCTTGGATTTCAGCATCAGGAGGTCCTAAAGGTAAGAATACATAACAACGTGAAATTCCTTCTAAAATTGTCATTCAAACATAAAAGTCATTTTGGAATGTAGTAGCAAGTTAAATTGAATTGAGATGAGTCATAGTAATTCTTAAAAATTAAATAAATAAATAATGAAGAGTAATCTCTTTTTAGCGAGAGGCTTCTAAGCACTAAGTTTCCATCAATCAGTCTATTTAATTTTCATCAAGTGAAAATATAGTAGATTCAAAACAGTCTAAAAGAAATGGAAAGAAGAAGATATTGAGAAAGTGAGAGAAAAAGAGTAGGGGCTATTCTCTTCAGAACTAAGTCATGAAAATGTATCTTACCTTCTCGGTGCATGTCTTGAGGAGGAGGGGAAGGTCTTGAAGTATCTGGAATTTGTGTTTGTTCTCCAAAAGCAAAATTCAGATGTGTTTCCTCATCCTCTTCAATATCAAATCTGCAAATCCAGCACAAGAAAGTGATGCAGTTTCTTTTGGCAGAGAGATTTAAAGTTATATGTAYGYTGGTAAGTAATTCACCTTTCAAACTGATTGAATGTATTTGTATTTGATTGATACATATCAAAACGCTCGAGTAAGGTTATATTTTCAGCATCAGCTGAGCAAGAGATCAACCAAAATCATTAGTAGGTAGAACGCATTATAAATTCAGAAAATAAGCGATAATGAGTTCAAGCGACAGAATAAAACTTTGATGGAGCTGTTGTGACGGATCATCTTCCCCTGTTTTGTCGTTGATATATTGTCCAATATCCACACTGTCAAGCCGCTGCAAACACAGAAAACTCTATCAATCAATAATTGGTAATTGTTCAAGAAATAGGAATTGTTAACAACAGAACTACCAAGCTCCTATAATTTGTTTAATCACCAAAACAAATCAGTTCCTTCTAAGCCAATGCGCAACGGTTCTATTCTATACTGAAAATCTTTCTCATAAACTAATCGCAGCGTYACTTATTAGGATTGAGATCTCCCAATTCCACTTYTCAAGTACAGTGGACTAGCACGACGCATAAACCTAAATGGGAACTACTAAATTTCTGTAGACTGCTRAACCCAAAAAGGRCGTTCTGTTGAAAGGCTTACCATAGTAAAAAAAGCGGTTTGTTGGAACCTCATGGGAGAGGTGTTGTGGGAGAAGTTAATGGACTGTGTCTCATGGTCTCCCACTTCTTTCGGATCCTTCTTAGGCCGAGTGATAGCCTCCTTCCTGAGTATATTTGGTTGGACATATGTAAATCATAACCAATTAAATCCACAGTAGAGAAACTTTCTTAACTTATTTTTTACTAGGGGTGTTAAAAAAAACCTAACAACCCGACTAACCCAATCCAATTGGGTTAGATGAAGCCTCAAGTTGGGTTGGGTTGTGATTTTCGGGTTGAATATTGGGTTCAAAAATCGGGTCAATCTAACCCGAATCGAATATATATATATATACATACACAATATCAACCGTTCATTTAGTTCTAATAATCCTAGCATTTTTATCTTATATTCTCCCATTTTGTATTTCAATCTCATTCGTCCATTTAGTTTTAATCCGAACTCCCGTCGCTACGATAATTAAAAATTAGAAACACAACCAGACAATTCAACCCAACTCGAAAACATTGGGACATTTCCTATACAACCCAACCCGTGAATACCCATATTTTTTTTACCGGAGAGATATGGAAACATAACCAAACAAATTTAGTGTCAAAATCAGCTTCTTAACTCGGATTCAAATCATTTTCAATTTGGACTATGGACGTATTAAAATCGTTGCCAAGAGTCAAAATCATCAAAGCTTATTGCACTATGGACCTATGAAAAATCGCAACCCAAAAAATTTCATAGCCGAAATCACCTTCTTATTCAAGCTATTAATAGCCACAACGCACACGCATTCCTTTTGGAAATAAATAGTTAATTAAATGCTCATCCATTGCTGAGTCTAAAAAGAAGGAAAGGGGCGACGGACTTAGCCAGAGATTTTCCTTTGGGAATGACAGTGGGCTCTGGAGCTGCTTTCACCTTCCACGCTTCGTTTAACTCAACCTGAGAAAACGGAAAACGAAGCTAAACAACACAATCTCTTGAAGAAGATAAAAAAAAAAAACGGTACTCTGTTGTTAGAACTCTAAAGAGTCGAGTAATTACCAGAAGGCGAGTTACATCCTCTGTGATGAAACAGGAAAACAAATTACACAATCCTTCAGATACCGCGTTTGAACTCTAAAACATTATATTCCTTCATTAGAAGTGACTAGAAGGTTACCGTAAAGGATTTTAACTTTTCGTTCATAGACAATGACAACACCGCCTGAGAAAAAATGAAGAACAGAGATACTACTACACTGTTACCGAGATGAAACAGAGCGTCAAAGATCTGGAAAATTCAAAGAGATTGAGAAACGATTACCCATGAGAATCCCCAAGAGTCTGAGAGCCATCGGAACTGAAGGATTCAAAATCTCCTCGCTGCAAAATCCCGCAGGAATTTCAAAACTAAACTAGCATTTACCGATTGAAGAAGAAACTTAGCTTAGTTTTATTTTGGATTACCAAATTTTGATTATGTTCAGCTTGTCGAGCTTTCTCCGATTGATCTTCGCGTGCATTGTAGCAGCCATCCTATATAAAATAGAAGAGATACAGAAAATGGCAGAATACAGTTGATGATCTCAACTTGCGAAAAACACAGAAGTTCATCGAAAGCTATCGATTCAGGAGGAAACGGACTGTGATAAATGTAAATCAAGTATATATCCATATCTCCTGTGAAGTAATCGGAACAGGAAACACCGAAAACCAATTGCAAAGTTTAAGAAAGACAGCACCGATCGAAGCTGATTGAGATTGAAAAACGAGCTTACCAGATTTGGCCTAGAGGAGCCTTTCGTGCGAGAAGCTGATGAGAGTAGAACATTGTGGATGAAGCAGATAGCCGGAGAAGAGAAGAAGAAGAAGGAAAATGGAGGAGAAAGATGAAGGAAGTGCAATGGCAATGGCAATGGAGTTCGAATCTGTTGGGTTCGTCTAATAAGTAATAACTAACTCTGCCGCCATTGCCATTGCCAGTGAGCTATGTGCGCGGACGAGGCCTAAGCCGACGCCAATAAACTTACCCAGAAGGCACCGCAATTTCCCTGCTACCTCTTTTATTTACTTTACTAATTACTAATTTACATTTTACACTGACTCTCAAATATTAAAACAAACATTCATGTTAAGCTGAAACTGTGGGTAATTTTAATTCACTTGTAAAATTTTAAAATAATGTTTTTTTTTAAATTAAATTAAATATCAATACAACTTTATACATATTTGTGGCTAAATCACAATAGCATACTATTACTTAATCAAACACTAATTTTGTTTATATTACAACTGTTGATAGCAATTATTTAAGAGGTTACTGTAATCTCAAACTAAGCTTTAGTTTATCAACTTTTTATATGTAGTTAAATTGTATAATTCTTTAATTTTAGTATTACAATTATTTACTCTTTTGTAGTTTAAATTTATGTAATCGTTTAGTTCCTTAGCAATTTTTAGTATAAAATAATTTGGTACACTTAGTTTAAAAATGCATTTGGCCTTTAAAGTTAAAAATCACATTATGCTTTAATAAGATTTTTCATGGTAGACAATAAGGCATGTTTGGGAGTGCCTTAATTCTACCATTTTTTAAAACCACTTAGAACATTTTTGTAAAACATTAGGGCATGTTTGGAAAATGGCAAAATGGAATCCCAAAATACCATAAATCATTGAAAGTTTTAAACTAAATAGATTAAGATTCAATCGTTATACATTTTAAACTACATGACTAGTCATTACATGTAGTTTAAGACTGAATTGTTACTCGTACAAAAGTAGACCGTAATATGTATTTTAATCTAATCAAATGAATAATTCAAAATTTCCATTCATTTTATACGAACTTATTTATATTTTAGCTCAATTGATTAAAGTATATATTACTATATATGTTCCGACGGTCAAATCTTCACTCAAATAAATAAATAAATAAATAAATAAATATATATATATTTGTCTTTTATAATAGTAGGATCCGAAATAGAAAAACTTGATTGAGCTAATTCAATTTAGAACGTTTGATTAATAAATTTAGTATCATAAATTGAAAATTGAAAACATCAATTTAATTTTGGCGATCTTGATTACAGATTATGCAGACTTGAGTTGAATTGATTGGATAATTCTGTTAGTTCGATTATCTCCCCAACTGTTTTTGCTTGTTTTTCTTGATAATGTATATTTTCTTCTTTAATGAAAAAAAATTATACTGAAGTTGATGATCCTTTAAAAACTATAAACATTTATGAACTCAAGAAAAAAAAAACTGTAATATTTATAAAGTATCCAACATGATGTTACAATTTTTTCAAAATTATTATGCTAAAGCAGATTCCAAATAACCTGCTAAATTTGTATTTATTTTAAACTCAAATTGGGTTATAAATATAATATGTACATACTTCTTGAAATTATATATTAATTTTCAAGATTAATTCATATTCTTTGAATGCATCATACAATACTGATATTAATTTGAAATACACTAAGAAACCTATATATTATATTATTAGAAAAAGCACGAGTTCAAATCTCCTTACCTATTGATTTAGAGAAAGTGGGTTCAAATCCCACGATGACTATCTACCTTGAAATTGATTATTTGGCAATCGAATCGGCAATTGTCCTGAAAATAATAATAAAAAAAAACATACCTATCTATTATGTTCTACACAATAATCCTAGTTGAGTTTTTTTTCGTAGCAGGGAATCGAAATCACAAGCTCATGGTTGGAAATATATGTCAATTACCGATGAGCTGTGCTCGCTTTGATTATTAAATACATCAATCATTCAATATTCTTAGGGCACCGAGCCGAATGACCATAGGTTTAATAGGAAATTCAAATGCATGCCTCACCACAACACACCATACAACCATCCCACGGCAACTCAAGTGGCATGTTACTCAAGCAACCAACTAAAAGGACTCATATCTACAATTGAGAGTCGCCCAAACAATTGAACTATATTTATCCTCGAATTGAATATCTCGACTTAATTCACTCGTCCATATTTCATACCTAAAAATCGTTTTCCAACCAAAATTTTCATGAACTCAAACAACCTAATCATCGTTATATTTTAAGAGATTATAAATACACATTTAAACATAACATATATGTAACATTTCCGAAAAGTATTGAGCACTCATAGGGAGGTAGCATCTTTTTTTCTGAAAAAGGAAAAAAAGAATCCATGGCTATATAATAACATACTCCCAGATATTAACCTCAGATACAATGCCTCTATTATTTGTTATACGTATTTCTTCTACAATTGAAAATGAGTAAAATGTGGGAAAAAAAAGACTAAGAGAAAACTCTATACGGCAAAGAATTAAAATTTATCAAAAGAACCTGGTTTCACTTGGGGTTCATGGCCGCCAGAATCCCTTTTTTCCAACAAGAAACTGGTCCTGATAAACAGAAATGGACCAGTGAAGTGAATGAAACATGGGACCAAGCTCTTTTATTACCTCCATGCTGTCCTGAATCAAAACATATCCGCCTGGCCTCAGTATTCTGTCCATCTCCACAACTGTAGCCACGACGTCGCATCTTGCAAGATAGGAAAAGTCGTTGAGACTTAGAAACACAAAACTCGGCTAACAACGTAAAGTGGAGAGAGTACTCATAACAATGTATCAGAGGTTGCTAAGAATAGGTATAAAATATTGAATATATTCTAGCCTATCAACTTGAGCTTTTGCATTGTTCGGAGGTCTTAAGTTCGAACTTTCTATTTCATATGATAATCCACTTGTTAGGTCTCATGTTAATTTTCAGATCCACAGGGGGAGTATGTTAAGAACATATATAAAAGATCAGATATACTATAACCTATCGGATGGGATTAGCAATAATTTAGTAGATGTTATGAATTATGAGTCAACATTTGATGTCAATGGCATACCTTCCTTTAAGAAATGAGAATAGAAAGCTGGAATGTAGAAGATCGTAGGTTCGAGGGTAGGTGTTTAAGGACTCGCACCAGTCATGGTAGAGACCGATCAATCCTCTATCGAAAATGATGGACAAAGTATCGGGTACGTCTATGGGGACGACATTCATGACCCAAAGTGGTCGATCAATCAATGCAGCTGCAAACCTGAAAATTAAGGAATTCTTAAAAGTGAGAGTAGGTATTTTAACTTATTAAAGAAAAAACAAGAAGAACAAACTAAATGATAGAATTTGATCTGAGTTGAACAGTCTAATTATTCCATCTATTCCAAATCGAACAGAGTTTTTTTTCCACATTAGAATCCAAAAATAAAAATGCTAAACTAGGATCAACACTTGATTAACTGGACAACAGCATCTTAAAAGGGTCTGCCATAATATAAAAAAGACTTAAAAAGAGCAAGATAAGGAAACCACAGATCATAATGAGGAACTTGATGCTTATATTCATTATTTGTATATGCTTTACCCTCCATAGCCAGCGTTCATATCCAGCACATTTCGGATGCTCGACCAGTCTATGCCGATGTTATCCCGATAAACATCAGACACAACAGCAGACCAATGTTTAGTATCCTCCAAGAATTTCTCCTCTACATTTGATTCAAGAGACAAGCTAGGAGGTTTGCTAGTCAGTCTCTGTGGCCACGGCGAGGGCCAATTATATAAGTTGCCATTGCTATCAACTGGAAGCTGGGAAATACATCTAGCCAACGGCACATACCTATCGACATATAGAAACAAAATAAACATGAATTCGATAAATTTAACTATGATATCATTATATCATCCTATTGCTGCCAAAACAAAAAGGTAGATATAAGGGAGAAGAATCTCCAAGAAATACCAAGAATTATTTCTCTTGTTATTCTGATCACATATAGGAGGATCATTTTGTCTACGTTCTTCATAGCAAGCAGCTGTGATGGGCTTCTGATATATTACAAGCCCAACCCCAGATGAATCAGATGTCTTCTGCACGACCTTCCAGCACATTGACTTCGTTAGCAACACCATCGCTGCAAGTTATCAATACAAACCATCTTAACAATGTCAACTACAAATTATGTGAAACTAAAATACGGATATTGTTAAAGAAAACAAACCATTCCAGACATTCTTGTCCCTTTCATCATCACGATAAACCGGTGTAGCTGACCATATGAAATATCCTCCAGGCCTGAGAATCCTGTTGAGCTCTAATAATGGTTTTCCACCTACAATTTTTTACCAAAATGGCCATAACAAGGTCAAGCTATCCATAAGAAATCAGTTGGTTACTATCAATGACAGAAGTGCATTCAGCTAGAAATTAGGGGAGGATAAACAAATATTACCATCTGCATCCCAGTGGACCCTGCAACGTGCACAATGTATCAAATCATAAGCATTGTCCGGAAATGTCAACCTTTGTGTTCCAATGACCGAAAGAGTAGCGGGAATACCCCGTTCTAAGGCAAATTGAATCTGTGCTTCATGTTCATCCTTTGGGGCAAATGACATGGCAAGAACATTCTTCTGCAATAAATAGCCACCGAAGCTAGCAACACCACAACCAACATCTAGAATAACTCTGATGTTCTCCCCCCATTTAATATTTGGTAAAGTCTGTTCCAAATTCAGTCAGATAGCATAAAATCAAACTTATATTTATGGTCATGATTGCTAAAATGCAGTATCCTAAACTATAATATGAATGCGTTTACTGTTCTGCTGAGTAAAAATTATCCAAACGTTTGCTTACAACAATCTGCCATATCAGCCAATTAAGCAATAAGATAAACATTTATAAAAATAAATAAGAAAAATCACCTTCTGGATGAAGTCAATGTAGCGATCAACTCCATCCTTAAACTGAGTACCACCTCCAGGAAAGCTAAGATAATCGCCTGATTTAACTACCCAATGTTGGTCTTTCTTGTATTCAACAAGCTTCGGATGAGGAACATTATCGTACCAAATCTACAAAAAATAGGGTTTCCAACATAATCAACAATCATCACCACTTTCCAACAAGAGGAACATAAACCTCGCCAAAAACAAGATTATCAACAAACCTTGGCAAAGAATCAAGCTCACCATGTCCCTACTCTTGGGCCAGGGAACCGGCACTTTATATCCCATCGGAAGCGGAACCAAACAGCGCGGACTTGGACTAGGGCAATGTCGTTCGCGGTGCTCCATGTGCTTTCTCGACTTCAAATCCTTAATGGCCTTGAAGTTATCCAAACAGGGAATGTAATCGGCGGCCACAGAGCCACCACAGAGCCTCCATCTGAAATTCAACGCCGAAGAAGAGAAAGCAAAACTAGGGTACGCAGAAGAGGGGATCGGAGAAGGAATCGGAGAAAACGAAGAGAGGGGTTTAGAAGGAGATCGCGGAAGAGAGGAGTAACGGAGGAGAGGGTTAAGGGAAAAGGAATCGGTGGAGAAGAGGATTAAGAAGCAGAGGAGGAGGAGTGAGAGGGTGAATATGAAGGGGATTTTTCGATCCTGAAACAAACTTTGGAGTGAAATCGCCATTGTTGTAGCAGAGCGAGCTCGAGAGAGAGAAGGGGAATTGGATCGGCTTCAGAGAGACGAAGTGAGATACGGAGATGAGAGAGAGAGAGAACTGAGAAGGACGCGGCAATTATTTATCGGATTCGAAATGTCGTTATAAAGTGAAGCTTGAAAAAGTGGAAATATTATATCCTACAATGCTCGTATCAAGGGGCGCCCTTGTGTTTCGTCGCCGCGAATAGAAACGCGCCACGTCGTATAATGATTTGTCGTGGTCCCCACCGCCGAATTCCACGACCCAACTCACCGACTATATTAAAAAAAATATATATATATATATATTTTTTTCCTTCGAATATTATTTGTCTACTTAGAGATTGAGGATTCGATCTCGTACTCTCGACCTTTTTTTTTATACAATACTCTCTATCTTTTAGTTGAAGTAAGATGTTTTAACTATTTAAACTAAGTTCACGTTAGTCTTTCATTATTTTTGGCTTTTGTTTATATTGGTCTCTTCATTTTATTTTTTATCTCATATTTTCCTTCATAGTTACGACATAGTACTATAACCAATAAATGTTGTACTAAATGGTTTTCGTTGGATATAGAATTTGTATGATAACTTATAATTTTGAAAGTATAAGAACTAAAACTATCCTTTTGAAAAAAGTTAAAAGTACGGCAATAAAAGTAGACATCTTAAAATTATAGGGACTACATAAATTGAAACTAAAAATAGAGAGACTAAAACAATATTTAATCGAATTTAGTTGCCTTTAATTAATTATCTATTAATTACTTTGGAAAAATTAAATTTGGTATGGAATGAACTCTCTTATTATGAGTTTGAGATCACATTTAGAAGTGTAAAATGTATTTTTTAGTCTATTAAAAGCATTTTTCAAATATTTTATAATGTTTGATTACATGTTATTTTTTATGGGATGTGATTCCCGGAAAACGGATCGAGTTCTTGAATTTTGAAAAACAAAACCACATAATTGAAAAGGATGAAATACAGGGGAAAACTTACGTTTGAACTTTTCTTCAACGATTTCCCGAACACCACCAATATATCTTCCGAGCTATCCTGTAGGTACCGAGATCATGCTTGTAGGAGCGTCGATTTGGAACGTGAGGGCGAATTGACAGAGTTTGATTGAGAGGAAATTCTTGAGAGAAAACTGTTCAGTTCTCCTGGGTTCTCACCCTGCAATTAAGCTGGGGAATGTTAATATTAAAATTAAAATTAATATTAAATTAATATATATATAATTAATTAATTAATTAATCATATTAATTAATTATTAATCTAATTAATAATCAATTAATATATACATGTGTATATATATAAATCAAATAAATAATTATCATAAAAATAAATTCATATTCTATAGCATTTCTCTCGTGTAATATACACATTATTTTTAACTTATAGTTTTAATATGAATCTTATTGATATTAATTTTATTTGAGTCTCATTCAAACAATATCTCTCATAATATATAGTTTTAATTTAAAATTAACTATATATTATAATGTATCAATCTACATATAATCCCTCGAGCAATTTGAACATTTCAAATTTTTTCAAAAACTTGATCCTCGTTTTACCTGTTGTGAACTAGCAAGGGGACCTAATGGACCTCTAGATCAGAAGCTCCAACGATACGAGATTAATCAGTCAAACTCATTGACCGAGTTAATCAACATATGTTAACTACAGGTCACTCCACTAAAGACCCGCAGTTGCACTCTTCTCACTGCAGAATGTTTTCGTGTCCATGGATATACAATCATTAATGACAAGTCAATCTTTCACGAGTGCTCATAACTCAAACTGGATCAAATTACCGTTTTACTCCTGAGTTACATCTTACTCCTTAAATATCACTGCTCCTCTAATGAACAACCCGATTATGGTTCAACCAATAACTGGAAGTCCTTCTCGGGCCAGTGAGAGGGTGGGGCCCCTTGTTCAAGTCCCGGAGTCAGCATTTAAGAGAACATTCATCTACTCCCTAAGTCGGGAATGAGTGAATTTCATCTTGTGAAGTTATGTTTCCAGCTCCCCACTCGGTCTCGTGCCCAAAATGGTAGGAATATTGAGTCGGCGTTTCGGGCCACTCTCACCCATATAGATCAAAGTACGAGCTCTCACGGGCAGAAGTTCATAACTCAATCAGGATTGAAAATGAGTTGCCCGGTCATCCTAAGAAATAGCAATTTGTTAGATAACGGTGTTACATCTAAAGATTGGCTATTTCGTGGTCCGGTCTTATACAAACTCATTGTATAGGATACCTCCATCCGCATGTCTGCACACGAACGACTTGGATCGAGTTGTTTGTAACATTTACAGTGTGGGCCATATCCATAGTGTTGTCAAATAAGGTACCCAACTTTATTCATATACTATAGACCCTTTAGGTTATTCACGGTACATTATTCACTTGTATATCAAGGGTATATCAAATATATACCAAGTATATCAAAGGTATATCAAATGTATACCCAGTATATCAAATATACACCCAATAGATATATTGTTATAATAACATTGAATGTTTAGTTTATTGGATTTTGGATAATGCAATGCTATGAATTCAACAACAAATTGATTGAATAAAAGTTTATTGAATATATCTTTGTTTTTACATAAATACAAACTACGAGTTTAGGACAACACACCAACAATTTTAAATATTCTTAAAGTATTTTTTAGAAGAAACAATTAATTAATGTTTTTTTTTCCTGAAAGTGTTTATTAAAGCAATAGGGTTATATTCAAATATTTGAAAAAAAAAGGAATTTGGTTCTAAAATACATATCTAGATATTTACTCATCAAATAAACGAAAAAAAAAATGTAGGTTAAATAACTTATTAAAAATATTAATAAAAATGACTAAATAACTTTTAATGTAAAATTTAAGGATGACCAAAGATATGCCATGAATAATTTTTTTAGTTCAAAATTGTGAGGGCAGAAGACGAACCATTAACCTTTTTTTATGATAATAAATATTTTTATCCATTAAACTATATTCATATAAAAATAATATATCTTAAATTATATAATAATAATAAGACTAAGATATTGATAATAATAAATAATAGAGAAAACCAATAAATATTATATAAAATATTTATATATAATATAATAATATATAAATAATTATCTTAATTTAATTATATAGATTAATTGCAAATATTATAAAAAGAAATAGTATAGTATATACTATATAAACAATATATTATATAATAACTATATAATTCGTTAAATCTATATATAAATTATATAAAAATAGCCTACTATACTCTAACCTAGTATTAATAGCCTAGTATAATAGGTTAGCTCTGCAGTGATGTATACTATACATTACGGATAAAAAAAAATGCGGATATAGTTGAATGGTAAAATTTCTCCTTGCCAAGGAGAAGACGCGGGTTCGATTCAACCTATAATAAGCATGTGGTTTTGTTTGTAATGTTGGTCCAGCAATGAATGATCATATCCAACGTATAAATGTAATATGTCTTTTTTTCTATTCTACAAAATGTTTCTAAAATGGTAGAAAACATTCAAAACACTAAAAAGTTAAAAGCTTATTTGATCGTTTGCTACTTTTTTGAAGAAAAAAAATTTTACGTTAAACAATTCTTTTTAGGAGTACATTAAGTGTACAAATGAAACTAAAAACAACCATTCCTAAAAAAAATAATAATAATAAAAGGAAAAAAACCGTGTATGCGGTGACACCGCTCAATGTCTAAAGGAGAAATATTCAATTACTTTTTTTTTTCTCCCTCGCCGACAATTGAAAACATCATTATCAGAAAGGAAGAAAAAAAAAATCTTTTCTTGTACTTCAAAAAAAGTGGCATTTTGTTCTATCAGAAAAAAAACATTGGCTCCTCAATTAAAAGGAATATTGACCTTTTTTAAATAATAATGAATTATCAAATATTTAATAAGAAGAAATAACACCTTACTATATATAAATTTTGCATGAGAATTTTACAAATATAGAAACTAAAATTAAAATTAATAATTAATAATTGAGCATTACAAATTTCAAATTCATCACTATTAAAGTCACTGTTAGAATATCAAATCTTCATTTGAGTGAAGCAGTGCAAAAAATCAAACCATCCAACATTATTTCATTCGTCTGTCATAATTTTTTTTTAAATCATTAAAAAAATATATCTATTCTTCAACAACTCTCATCCTTAATATCATGAAGTTAGAAGGAGTATGAGTCCATTAACTCGATTTTTTCAAAACCGACATCGAACTGGCCCATTGGTTAAAGGAAAATAAATTCAAATCCAACTAACTGATTAATTTTATTCAAAAATTTTTATTTTGTTTCCATCTTAAAAATTGAACCTACTTCTCTGGAAATCCAAAGTTGGAAGTTTGAAAAAGGAGGGAGAGAGAGATTGAAAACTACCTACAATTAAGATCCTGTTTAAAAATGATTTTGATTTTAATTCTGTTTTAAAAATTACACCTACTTTCTCTCCACAATTTCTTCAGTATGCATTTGAAGATTTCTAAAAACACATTAGAATTCTTGGCAAATTTTCAAAAACAAAAACAAGTCTTTAAAACTACTTGTTCTTCAGATTTTGAAACTGGACTTGGATTTCAAAAACATTATTTATAAGAAGTTGATAACAAAGCAAATAGATAAAAGCTAAATTTTCAAAATAGTTATCAACATGTACAAAGAATTTTGATTGATTGAGTCTAAAAATATAGTCCATTAGATATTTTCCCAATGGTAAAAAAACCACCTTTTGAAAGAACAATAGATAATTTTTTAACCCAACTCTAAAAACAAGACCAAAAGATAGGTAGAAAAGAGATCCACATAAAGCTTACTCATTTAAATAATATCAAGTAAAAGAAAATAAGAGCAATACACAGACTTCCCAGTTCAGTTTTCCCAATTGTAATAACTCAAGTATAGGTGTCTTACCTAAAACAAAACAGGCGTTCCCAAAATTGTGTCAAATTTCTTGGTGAAAGTGGCAAGACTAGCAGCTCTCAGAAACTACAGACCTGGGGGAAAGATTTACTGTGAAAACCGTCTCACTATTCCTGCAACAATCTTCACTCTGTGATCCCGGAACCTGCATTCTCGACATCAACTTCACCCATTCCCGTGTCTTCCTCTTCCTCGCTGTCCTCGTCGCCGCTGATCTCTTCATTGTCCTGTCGTAGTTTCGCCATGTGTTCCGCAAGTAATTTGTCGTCCCTTTCACTCACCTATAATTGGACAATAATGGATGTGAGCAGACGAAAAGGATAGATAACCTTTAATATTAAAATGAGACTCACCGCTCTAGGTGCCTCCTTCACCACAAGCTTTCCCTTGTGTTGCTCGATTGCCTCAGTGCAAGCAGTGATCGCTTTCTCAAGAACAGTGATTCCTTGCTCCTACTCAACACCAAATAACAATTGAACAACTCTTAAACAAAGCTGCCAGTTGGAAACATAGGACCAGTGATCCTAGAACTTCAATTTATATAGATCGACAAATTTGAGAAGGTAGATATATAATATATGTACATTGAAATCAATTTTCAGAGATCAGGTGGCTAGACGTGTTATTCATCAATATTACAGATTTCTGGTTCTGATCTTACAAATTAGTAACAAAGATCAGTAGAAACGACAAAAGATTTGAGGCATCCAAAGAAATCATCAACTAATTTACAACACGGTTGTTCTTTTTTCTTCTTTCCTTTGGATCTTTTTCTTTCTCAATGCCAATCCCATCCTAAAAGAAGAAGAAAGGGGAGGGGACAATCTACAGACTTTACCTAAATTGAAGCCTAACGATGAGATCATCTGGAAAGTTCCTTATTAACTTCAATTGGAAATACCTCTATGCATGACAAAAAACAATCCGTCACATTATAGCGATGATTGCACTAACCTTGTCTAGTGTCTGGGTAGTAAGGACATAGAGTGGAGGAGCAACCAATTTAATTTTAACGGGACAATCATCATTCCCCACGGCTTCAGCTCTCCGCATTGCTTCCTGCAGAGTCAGATAGGTCGATGTTTACAATTTTCATGAATCATGGAACAACTTTATCGAGGAAATCAAATAAAATCAGAAAAGATAAACAGAGTCAAGACAGACCTTAATGTGAAGCACACCATCAAACTGGAAACACTTCATCTCAATATCAGCCCGAACCTTCAGCGGCTGGGGAGTCATTCTTCTTCTAATATTCTTTATTAGCGCATCTTTTACATCCTCAGACATTGCAGGAACTACCTTAGTTACCTAAAATACAAGATAAAATTAGCATTTAATCCAAATTTGAGAGAATAACACCTCAATTTGCATAAACCAAGGCTACCTCCTGTCCATCAGCACCAGCTTCCTTGACTTCACGGGTGAGAGAACTCAACACCGAATCAGGATCAGTTACAATAATCTTGAATGCCTGCAAAAAGACAGTTCAAGTCCAGTAAAAATCCTAAATTCTTCCAGAAAACATATTGTTCTTTAAGGATGTGAACCAGAAAGCATACCTCGAAAGCATGACCATATTTCCGGTATAAAGGCCAGCCAACATGGATATACAAGTCCTATAAGAAGAACAACGTCACCTTAGAATTTTAATTTAGTATTTTGATAACCTTAGTACCTAACATTAATACAACAGAATAGTAAGTCTTTGGAAGATCTGGGCAATAAGAAGTCTTTAGCATTTTTACTCGACAGTAAAGGCATTATTAACAATTAATTTCAAACTGATATACAGCTAAAATTTTAAAACAAACCAAGCCTAAAGGCCATACCACAATGAAAGAGTTACTTCCCTTCACACAACTCTAGATTTTCTTAGCGAGGGAATGGATGAAATAGCCCAAAAAGGTGCAATACATTTATATATATGAGTGAGACAATAAAGTATGCTCAACGTTTCCAAAACACAATCAGCAAAGCGCAGTCTAAATGTCAAGTCACATGATGACTAGATAAGCATCATCCAAGCAGATCTAAGGGTTAGATAAAAAAAAAAAAGTTAACATATATCAATGACTCACAAATAAAATTAAAACATAGATTAAAATATTAATATTTCACGCCAACATAAGCTTAGCTCAATGGTAATTGACACCTACTTACGATCAAAAAATCATGAGTTCGAATCTCCATCTCCATTGATGTACTCAAAAAAATATATTAATATTTCATAGGTCAAAATGTAAATAGGAACTTATTATATCCAATCAAAAGAGAGAATTGGAAAAATAGATGCAAGCGAGGGAATTAAAAATTTAACACCATATTATTTTATTGGTTTTTGTGTTTAAGTGATGGGAAATAATCATCCTATTACTAAATAGACGGGTAATGATAGAGACACTAACAGTCAAAGAAAGGAGAATTGTGCCAAATTGAGAAGGAAGAACTCAACACACTTATTCTTGTGGCAATGTTGCTCTCAAGGTTTACACCTTGGGGTCAGGCTCAGAGTTTTAAGTCTCAAGGCTTACGCTTCTTTGATTCATATGAGGCTACCTACATGAGAATGCACTCGAGCAAAGTCATTCTGCCTCAAAGAATTATATTAACTCAGTGCCTACTCCTCAAAATATAAAAAGTCCAAATATGAATGTAATATTAATACCAGAAGAGTTGTGGTTATTTGGCTCTTTACTAAATCTACCACTAAGGCCAAAAACTAAAAAAATGTCAATCCTATTAGTGATAATGATGATGAGAATGCCCCTTACAACCATTAATGGGCCTGTTTAGTAATACAAACAGCTTCAAAACTTATGCCTCCTCTTCTGAAGGGGAAAAAAAAGCCTTGAGGCCACCATAACACAATTCAAAATATTGTCTAAAGGCAGAGGAGAGACAAAGCTTACAGTTTGACATTCAGGGCTGATTGTTCAATGAGGGTCGATTTGTTCAAATAATGATATTTGCTAGCTGTTAGAAGATAACAAAAAATATATGGTCCTGGATGAAAGAGATGTTATCCAACGATGGTATGATAAATAACCTACAAGCCCCATCTTCTTGACGGGAAGCAACAAAACCAAGTTTATTTCAAGGAAACCAGTCATAAGTACCCTGCTTTAAACCCATGAAAACAGTGATTGCCATGTGGCCATGAACATGGTGACCATTGACAAGTTTTAAGCCTGACGTCCTCTTAACAACAATAATAACCAAAACAACCTTGGCTAGTTTTAAGCCTTCCCTAAATCGTTAAATATCCACCACTTCAATCCAAATGTTCTCAATATCGTTAATCCAATTAAGTATACAAATTTGCCAGAAAGTAAATAGAACAAAGAATAAGATTCCTTAGCAGACCAGGAAACTCAAACAGCAAAATTACAGGAAAACAACTTTAACTTCAATCAACACCTAAAACAACCACCAATATCAATAACACTCAAAGCAAGACAACCAGTATAGCAACCAAAAGGAAAGAGCGAGACAATACAGGAAATTACCTCCAAATCAATGTTCATCGTCTCGGCAACATGGCGCATAATAGAGTGAACAAGCTTGCTCTTATTATACCTCTCCTCACAGGCCTGAATATCCTCCTCAGACACCCGCCTCTTACTCAAATCAATGTAGCCCTTCTCCTTGTCGACCCTGAGGACCATGACGGGCTCGATTCGGCCGACCTTGATCAAGCTGCTGACACTGCGAATTCGGCGGCGGGAGAGCTCGGAGAACAGAATCATGCCCTCGATGTTGTTGTACTCGAGGAGGGAGACGTAGGCGCCCATGTCGGCGATGTTCTTGACCTGGATCATGACGGCCATGTCGACCTCCGGATACTTGGCTTCGTACATGCGGCACTCCAGGTTAGGGGAATGGGAAGCCATGGCTGCGAGGTCCGACAATGGAGGATTCTGTGGAGAAGGGTTTAAGAGAGGGAAAATTGGGGTTTTCCGGGAAAATTTAGGGCTATGAATAGAGAGAGAGAGAGAAACAGAGAAGGGTTTGATGTGGCGATTTCTGGTAGCGGCGGAGAGAGAATTTCAGACAGCGGATACTGCTTTTTTTCTTTTTCTTTTTTTTCCGCAGAGGAAAAATAAATAAATTGTAGATTTAAATTCTATTTTCTTTTTCAGATTTATTTCATTTTCGGTTCTAAATTTTTTAAATGTTTATTACGTCTGTAAGTTTTCAAGAGTAGTCATTTTGGTCTTGATAGGCACTTAAAATTTAATTATCCTTCGTTCTTTTTTCTTCCTTTTATTTTCTCGAAGATCATCCTGAAGTATTGAATATTCGAATTTATGTTTTTCTGGTTGAATAGGATTACTATGCAAAAATAAAGTTTTAAATATTGATGTTGATAGAAATGTCAATATCTCAATTTTACAGAAATATTGATAAAAATATCGTTGTCGATTGATATTTATGAGGAAATTATAGGAATAAAAAATTCGTAAAAATATTTAAATTAAAAATAAACATTTTAATCTTTCTAAAAACGATTAATATATCTATATAGTGATATTTTGTTAATACTTTTCATATTTTGTCAAAATTTTTTGTAATATTATGAAAATGTTAATTTATTCTTCATTGATATCGAATCCAGGATACATAGAAATGTCAACGAAAATGTCGAAATGTCGTATTTATTCATACCCAATCTCTTAACTGGATGTTACACATCTTTCTTCTCTATGACCATTTAAGCCAACACAATAGTATGGAAGTTTGAAAATAAATAAATAAATAAAAGTATGAACCAAAAGAGTTATTTTTTAAATATTTTATAGACTAAAATAGAGATTAAAAAATAGAGACTGAAATAAATTTAACATAAATTATATAAAAAAAGGTTTTTTAAGGGTAAATGAAAATAAAGAAATAAAAGTATGAACCAAAAGAGTTATTTTTTTAAATATTTTATAGACTAAAATGGAGATTTAAAAAAAAAATAGAGACTGAAATAAATTTAACATAAATTATATTATAAAGTTTTTTTAAGGGTAAAAAACAGTGTTGATTAAACAGGAATTTTTAAAAAAATGGAGAGAAATTTAAATTAAAAAACAGGTGTTGATTAAACGAAAATTTTAAAAAATATAGAGAAAAATTTGAGAATCAGCAAACCGTCGACAGCAGGATTCGAACCTGCGCAGGCAAAGCCCAACAGATTTCGAGTCTGTCTCCTTAACCACTCGGACATATCGACGCTATTGAGTCGAAATTATCATTTTTAATATTTATGTTTTATGCTAATGTCTCTGGCTAAGTTTTGGACTCAAGTTATTTATTTTGAACAGAAAACTTTAAAATTAGTCGTTTTTACTATTACAATAGCGGTAAAAATAAAAAAAGGAGAAAACATATGAGTTCAATTGAATTTGTTAGGAGCATTTTTAATTCAATTTAATAGTTCTAATCTCAAATTTATTCCACTCAAATAATCCTAATAAAATATGAAGATATTTGACTCATTATATCAATCATTTATTTTTGTCAGTTCGGGATTATACTTGTTTGATAAATTTAGCCCATAAATATATATATATATATATATATATATATATATATATATATATATATATATATATATATATATATATCTATATCTATATATATTTTACAAAGGTATTTAGCCCATAAATTGTGGTCAATGCAGCCAAGAAGGATTAATTGATTACGTTTCACATAATAATAAATTGAAAATGTTTTAATAGCTTTGATTTTAATTTATTTAGCTAGTTTTAATTTAATTCAATTGAGAACGATTTGATTTTTCGAATGGTTAATATAAACGTCACTTTACTTTTTCTTTTTTATTCTCCTTAAACTGATATATCAATTCGTAAAGTATGAACTTACATCCCTATGCAATTTAAGTAGGTATATTTTTAATAGGTTAAACATTTTCGAATTTGAAGGATCCCATACTTTAGTTAAAGTTCTATATTGTCTTTATCGTTAGTTTCTTTTTTTCAAAGGAGTATATTGCAAAATATATATATATATATCAATCTCACAATTTGAAATCATCATGGCCATAAATGGAGGCATAAAGAAAGACAAAACAAATCCTAAGTAGACCCTATTAATTGCCAGGAGGTAGAACCAACGCTTCTTAAAAAGTCAGTAAACATACAAAATAATTCGACTTTTCTTTTCCTTTATTTTTTCGGAGTTCAATATATAGAAGTGTGAATTCGAACTTACAATCTTTTGGTTGGTTGAACATAAATGTCTTAACCAATTCAGATTCGCAAAAGTTATTTATTGGCACCTTTTGAAAGATATTTTAACACATTTTTTAATAGATACGAAAGAGGACGTAGATTATAAGGATGAAGAAGCCCAATCCCTTACATAAAGAGAAACCTAATCTCGTACAGTTTTTGAAGTACAAAAACTGAAGCACTTGCCCTTTTTCTGTAAAAACAAAACACCAAGCAAATGCCAAATGCTATGAATCTAAATCTTTGAATCAAAGATACGATACGTCAAACAGTTCCAAGCTCAAAGATCGGCTAAAAACGAAACTCGGAACGAGTTAGCACGGGAAATGAGTGTAAACTCCTGCCTACGAGGAAAACCTGGGTTCGGCGCCTGTCGATGATATGCATGTTAAGAAAACAATGTCAAGGAGAAAGATGTATAGTATAGTAAGTAACCATTTGCTACAATTCATCTTTTCGGGGTTGTTTATCGTCATTGCGCGGCCAGAAGAGCCAGCGGAACAGTGATAACTTACTGGTTTCAGGCTCTGATGTCGGTTTTTCCATGTTTGCAGCACACAATGTGTTGAAGTCGTGCTTAAGATGAGGAGCCACAATTTTCTCCTGAAAAGAGGCAAAGTTTCTTTATTTTTTATTTTCATGAAATGAGTCATGACCATATGCTTGTGTATTTCAATCTAGATGGAAATTGTACCTTAAAGACATTAAAGGAGCATAAATCCGAACCGTCGCAACCCTGTTCATCCAAATACAAAAAGTTCATGAAGATTGTAATAAGGACAAGCTGAAGGGTCAAAACGGGAAGTGAACATTATAAATATTTGATATTAGTATCCACCATTCATCATTCAGAATCAAATGATCTATTGACATAGTTTTAGTAGTAATAACATTTAGGGTAAACCTAAAAGTTTGGCCAAGGATAATAAAAGTGATCTTGAAAATTCTAAGAACACAAAACAAAAAACTCTTAAGTGCCTTGAGGGGTAGCATTTAATTTTTCAAAATTTACCCGTGATGTAAAATATGTAATCACATATAGGATGAGATTGAGATTTTGGGAGCTCAAAAAGTGTTTTTAGCCCATAAAAACACACTCGTTAAATAATCAAAAGTCATTTTGAAATTTCTAAAAACAAAAAAAAGTATACTTTTAAGTGCTCCTTTCAAGGATAAGTTACTTTCACCTGAAGTGCTTTTGTTCAAAAGCTATCCTAAACTCACCAATGATGTACAATATGGATTTTTTAGAAACCGAAGACCAAATATTTGCTAGAGAAATAGGAAATGGAATGAGTGAAACGGTAAACTAGAGTTTATAAATGGTGACGTGCTAACCAGCAATGGTACAGGTTCTTCATTATGCAAAACTCGCACAAAGTACTGATCCGATGAGTTTGCGGGGCAGTTATACAGAACCAGCATGTTATTCCCAGCAAAAGGTGCAACGTTGCCCCCCTTCCAAATTCTAGTTGCTGGAGGCCGTGGAGGAAGTTGCAAAGGCTCTTCCCTTTGTATTTGTCTAAATTCTGTATATTTAGATAACGAAAACCCGAAACTAAGAAAGGGGCCGCGGCTGCCATGGGAGTACATAAATTTATGTGTACTTTGGACATACAAAAACAAGGGGAAAATATTCTAGAAGCACTTACCAGATCCTTCAAGGAAGAGCCCAAGCAAACAAGTGAATGGAACCACAGTTTCAGCATGAGCAAAACGAAGTCTTGCCTTTTCATAGCTGCCAGGAGCTTGTTTTTCTACAAAGTTTAGAACATGGAAACTTAGAATCAGTTGTAATATGGATAAGAATCTAGAAGGCTCTACCCAATAACTTCCAGAATTAGCCATTCAGAATTTCTGCTAAAAAATAAATAGGTAAACTTAGTTGGGAAAGAAAAAGAGTTCAAAATTGATAGGAGATGGTAAGAAATTATTTAAGGGAAATGATCAAACAAAAGAGGTATGAATGATAAAAATCACCATCATCACAGAAATGCATAGGCAATTGATCAGCTATGGTTAATAAAGCAATATGTACCACCTAGCATCTAGTTAACCAATATGTACCACCTAGCCTCTAGAAATTTCTAGATCTTGATGGTACCAACTTGAGTATAGTTTAACTGGTTAAGGCATAAATCCTCAACCAAAGGGTCAGAGGTTCGAATTCCCACCCCACGTGTTGTTTAACTCAAAATACAAAGGTATGCAGAGAGTGAACCGTGAGAATAAAAATCAGCAGACGTAGGTGTATAATATACCTTCTTTGGCCTTGATAGCTTGCTCCATGGATTGGACAATATCTTCCAACAAAGGAACTCCCATTTTATAGTTTAATGAATTACCATAACCCTTCAATATAAACACCTCAACATCATCCGTCCACTCCAACAAAGCAACCTGAGCACGTAAGATAAATATTTGCAAACTGAGAATCATGAAAAGAAGAGATATCAAACATGATAACTGCAGCTTGCTCAGCAAAACCAAAATCATTCAATAAATGATTCTGATACGAGCATAACATAGAAATATGGAAAGCATAGTTGTATTGATAGAAAAGTATTTCTCGTACCGGCTAACCTAACACACTAGCTGACATGGCCATTCAAGAGGGACACCATTCTACCACCACCACCTACCTAATCGTTGGTAATATAATATGTAGGCATTTTGGCAAAAAAAACACTTAAGCTCTCTTTTCTCTCAACTTATGTTTTTTTCTTACTGTTACACTTACAACACCTGGGGTTTTAGTTTAATTTACCGTTTGAACTTACAATCACAACTAGAAATTCATCTCCATATTTAAAGTTTTGATACCTTTTAATATTAGCATGAAACTAATGGATTGCCTACCTCTTGCCTCGTAGTTCTCCACTCTTGAAAAACTATATTTCTCTCCTCCAACTAAAGTTAGGCAGCCTGATATCCCATCTTTCCATATAAGTTTGGATCAAATAGAATTCTTTCAAATTCGTACTAATGCAGGCAACTATACATAACTTAGGCATCTATACACAAAATGAGATGAGAAACAATATGCTATAACTGCTCCATAAACTATGAGCATCTTTTCAATACATTAGAAACCAGCTACCACCAATGACATGCCAATAAACGGTAACCTAAGTAAGACTTATAATCCAAGTACCTCAGAAGGGCTAAACAGTCCACAGGCTTGATCCGTAATGTCCAATAAGGACGCCTCCTGCAGATGATAAAGAGAGAAAAGGATTCTCATTAGATTAAGAAAAACATCAAAATGTAGTAGACAAATAATTACAGAGATACAAACGGACAAGGGGTCTTCTTAGTCATAGACATTTAAAAAGAAGCCGCTTAGAATCATAAACATTTAAAGAAAAGAAGCGGAAGAAGTGAAAGGGGGAAAAAGAACCGAAGACCTAAGTGAAAATTTAACCCATCCTCGCTGATCAAAAGATTCTCTTATCGTATTTACAAGTAAATACACCAAGATAAAATAGTAACCGCAAAATTTCAAAATGCATTTCACCTGAATATATTACGGGGAACTTTGACTTTTCTGTCTTAAGTATAAGAATGAAGAATCACCTGCTTACAGAGAAACCAAAGAGATGAAATGTGCTGCCGAGTAAAATTCAGACCATAACGTTCACTTAGTGACTTAGTTATATCATCAAGTACAGGTTCCTTGAGCTTGTCAACGGCAGGTTCCTGATTCTTCCTATAATCCTGCACCCAAATTGATAGAGATCAACCACAGCAACCGGTCAACCACTAAAGATATATTAAATAATTGGAGGGAGGCTGAGAATAATTTGACATATTTAGAGTTAAATCAGAGAATCGGCTAGAAATAAATCAGAGAAAAGATTTGGAACAACAGAATGAAAGTCAGAAAATTCAGGAACAGTGATGACAGGATGGATATCCAATGAGTCCACCACTTTTATTACTTTTAAGAAAGAAGAACCTCTCATTGAACATGAGATTGAAATGCTTTTATTAGTTTTGATTCTTTTTTAGATTGATATATCTCCAGCAAAAGACACACACATGTTCCTGCATGCATGCCTATATAAAAGGCTCATCACTCTGATACTCGCAGGACACACACATGTTCCTGCATGCCCTATATAAAAAGCTCATCACTCTGATACTCAACACTTCAGAGAACTAAATTTATTGACACTAACCCTTCCACATCTAGTAAAAGAATCTCCCTCCAACCCACAGAATTCTTAACAACCAGTTCTTTGATTAGTTCCAAACTAAAATATTTGGACTTCATGGGAAACCCAAACACTTCTTAACCCCTGCTCCTACCTCACTGGAAAAGAAAAAAACAAACCAACCAACAAAAAGATAAAGAGAGAGGTAGAAGATAGAAAACGAATCATACAACGAACTCCACCACAAAGAGAAGAGGGAAATTGGGCAATGCATTAATTAAATGTTCTAACAAGTAACGTGCTTACTCACAGAGGCTACAATCAAATACAAGGTTGCTAAGCTATAAAGCATCAGCATTAAGTCCAAGCAAGCGATTGTCCACGAAAAAGTCTCACTTGGTCACTTCACTCATCCAAATACAATTGGCAGGAGTGAAAATTGGTTCCCCATTACTTTTTTTTTTTTTTTATTGAAGAGAAACAGAAATTCATTAAAGTAAATAAGGGTTTAAAAACCCTCCCCAATTAGTATAAATATCAGTAACGGATTAATTACAAAAACAAAAAACAAAATTTTCAAGCTTGCACCAAGAGGTAGCTGAAAACAAAAAATAGTCGAAAGGATGAGTGAAACTACTCCTTATCCCACCAAAAGTTTTGTGGTTTCTCTCAAGCCATGTATTCCATGGGAAGCTTCTGATCAAATTCAACCAAAGGACTTTGGCCTTCTTCTTGAAGGGATGTGCCAGCAGAAGGATATGAAGGTTGGCCGAAAGTTTTGGATGAATGGCATGGCCCATCCAAAAGTCCCAAGAAGAGAATTAAATAAAATCATGGCAAAGGAGCAGTGGACAAAAAGGTGGTCCTGTGATTCTGAGATTTGCTTGCAAATATAGCAGTGATGGGTCTCCATTACATCCTTCATAATTCTTGCTTTTCCAAAAACAGGTAATTACATGACGGAATTATTTCTAGAGTCTCAAAGATGGACTACAAAGGGGCTAGATAGCTGAAATGACAAAACTGCCAGTAACTACATTTTTCTTTAGGCTGAATGATGCAAGCTAACTCTAAACTACATGCGATGCTTAGAATTCCATTAGTATGATGCTATTAAGTTTTTTCTTTCTTTCCTATACCAGAAAGATGGATGTTTCTGGAAATTTGATGGGAATTATTATTATATATACAGCCGACAACCTAGTTTATTTTTTATCTTTTATCGTCCAACACCACATATTCACAAGTTTTAAGCACCTGCAAGAAATAGATGACACTTAGAAAGACTACTGAAAAATAGACATATCAATACATGTTCAAGAGGGTATGAGTACTTGAATCATCGTGCACAAACTGCCACTTAATAACAGAAGTGCAAAATATGAAACAAAATGAAAATAATAATGTGCGACAAATTTTGGCAAATTTAGGCTGGATTAATAAGAAGATAATCAAGATTTCATGGTTACCTCATATCTTTGACAACAATCAAAAAACCTAAGCATAGTATCACTGGCACGACTTTCACTGATAACAGAAAAAGCTCGATGACGACCTGATCCAAGGCTTCCTCTACCACTAAACAGCCCCATGCCAAATGCCACAGCACTAGCTGATGCCCGAGGAACCTAATTATTAATGGAGGAAGGCACATAAGCATACAGATTCTAGTTCTAACAATAAATGGAACTTGAGGTATATATCCTTCCAATCAAACAAATAATTAATCTATAACAATTAAAATTAAAGGGCACACAAAATAAAAAGCAAAAGAGGAAATAACCTGAGTTGCTTTAATTGCATATACTTCTGGATGATAATCATCACTAAACAATTCCAGAAACATCTTTCTTGTTCGGATTCCAAGATCATACAATTCTTCCTCTCCTTTAGAAATTAATTCTCCACCCTTCACTTTTCCTTTCCAAGGAGATTTCCATCCCTTCATCCAAGAAGGAACTCTATGCAGAGACAAGCCATTTTCTACTGCAACTCTTATAAGCATCTCCAAACGACTTTCCAAGTTGTCCAACTCTCTAATCCGTTTTTTTGTTGGAGCACGAGTCCCATGCCTGGCCTGAGAAAAAAAAACCATTAAAACTATTCATTCTTTGAAGTCTTTAGCTTTCAAAGAAATACAGTTAAGTCTAGTAAGTCTTGTTGAGTCAAAATCATGCAAAAAATTCTATTATAGAATCCTGAGTTACGCACGAAAGTACTAATAGATTCACATACATATGCACCAAAGAAACATATATTCCGATAGAAACCATGGCACGAAATCAATCTCGCATACCTCCCCTTCAATTAGTTATTATTAAGGTATCATGTGTCATTTAAGTTCTTACCGTATTCATTTGAACAAGCAACTTAACACATATTGACCAGATAACAAACTGTTGAGTCTAGTGATATAGCACAAAGATGGACAGATCAGTCTCAACAGAGCATAACTTGCAAAAATTGAAACTTATGTCAATTTTTGAAAAACTATTAGACAAGGTTTTTTTTTTTAATGAGAAACCAAGCTTTTCATTGAGACAAATGAAAACAAAAGCAAATGTACAAGGGCATAAAAAAAAACAGCCCGCAAGGGAGAACCCCACTAAAAAAAAGGGTCTCCAATCCAAAAGAATCAAGCCTAACGTATAATTACAAAACAACCTCGAAACATAAAGATACATTAAATCATAAGATCCCAAACAGGCTCCCGATCTCTTTCCACTCCCCAAAAAATCCTATTATCTCTCTCGAGCCAAATCCCACACACAAGATAGCTAAGCAACAAGCTTGCCACAAAAAACTCCCTTTTCCCCAAAGGGAGGAGACAAAAGCACTTCCTCCAAAATAGCCCTGCACTCCCTATTACGGACCCAAGCCACCTCAAAGGTCTCAAAAAACCGCCCCCAAATGCTCTGGGAGAATGGACAGAGTCACAAAAGATGATATAGGTCCTCCGAGGCATTCTTGCAGAGAACACACCATTGTGGGCCTCAAGCAACACGAAGAACTCCTTTGAACACGATCCAAGGTATTAATTTTCCCAAGTAAGACCTGCCACACGAACACCTTAATTTTCTTTGAAATTTTCACTTTCCAAAGCGAGGCGAACACCGGGACTAAGGGGGAAGGTAAGGGGAACACAAAAGCTTGAAGAAGGAGCAACAAGATAACCCATTCGACGAACTAGGGGACCAAACATGAATATCCTTTCCACCTTGAAAAATAGAAGTACCTGAAAGCAAGAGAAGCAGCTCAGCAGCTTCCCAGGATTCTTTGTCAGTCAAAGACCAGTCGAGGCCTAAAGAAAGAGACAACCCAACCCCTCTAGAATCTAATACAGAGACCACCGAATGTAACCTCTTGTTCGATAAATGATAGAGACAAGGGAATAAAGAACAAAGGGGTTTATTACCCACCCAGAGGTCCTCCCAAGAGTAGGTATCAAGGTCATTCCCAACTGAACAAAACAAAAATTGGGAGAAGAAAGGAAAGCCAGAGGAGATAGCCTTCCAGGGGTTGTTAGCGCTAACCTTAAGTTCTCTGCTTGAGGCCCAGTCAAAAGGGTGCGGCCATACTTGCTCATGATAATCCTACACCATAGGGCACTAGGCTCTTGAAAGAACCACCCCAACCATTTAGCCAAAAGCGCATCATTTTTTTATCTCAGCTTCCCAATACCCAAACCCCCCCGCCTCCAGAGACTTGGAAACCACCTCCCACTTAACTAAGTGAGCCCCACCTCCCTTGTCCACCCGTTCTCAAAGGAAGTCTCTCATAATTTTCTCCACACTTTTACTGACTGAAACAGGAACTTTAAAAAGAGAAAGGTAATACAAAGGGATCCCACTTGCAATAATTCTTGCTAAGAAGACCGCCCATGTTGTGGCAATTCCACCCAGAAGGTAATGGGTTTGTTTGAGTAATAGCAATGAGATTCCCCAATATCATGCTAAGAATAGCTAGGATTTCCATAAAAAGATGTCATTCGTTTGATGAGAAATAAAAAGGAATATTGAAAATTCTACCAGTCGTGATCGTTACAAAGGATGATGCCATAGGGAGAGATCGAGCTTCAAGAAATAGCAAATGGTCTTCTTGGTATATCTAGATAATAGGTAGCATCATAAACCGAAACATTGTGGAGCTACAAAGATAGTTATGAAATCATTAGCACCGCATGAAAACATTCCTCCTAGAGTAGCTGTTAATACGAATAACAAAAACTCTGTGAGAGAAAGGTAATACAACGGAATCCCACTTAGCACTGATTGAATAAGCGTTAGTCTCCCCCTTTGGAGAAGAAGGCTTTCTTCCACAAGGACAGGCGCTTTTGCATCGCTTTTGCATCTTCTCCAACACTGGGGCTCAAAAAGAAAGACTCTTAGGAATTAGGATTATGTCCCAAGGGAAGGCCTAAATAGGAATAAGGGAGATCCGCCACTTCACAACCAACCTTGGAGCCCCACTGGAGAAGTTTCAAGAAATCACAATTAATGCCCAAAAGCGAACTCTTACCTCTATTAATCTTAAGCCCCGAAATGGCCTAAAAAAAGATATGAGGATATTCAGATTGTTAAAAGTAACTTCCTTCCCCGAACAGAAAAAAAGGTATCATCAGCAAACTGAAGGTGAGATAAGCTTATCCTCTCCCTTCCCCCAGCAAAGCCCTCCACAGCTCCCTTATCCACACCTAAAGAGACTAACTTGCTTAGAATATCCACAACCAGGATGAAAAGAAAATGAGTCAGGCGGTCTCCTTGTCTCAAACCCATAGTGGCTCTAATTTTCCCCTTTGGCCTCTCGTTTACCAAGATCGAAAAATTAGTCAACCTTCAGCAGTACCAAATCCAAGATCTCCACTTGAAGCCAAAACCCTTCCTCCACAGCACTTGGTCCAAGAAGTCCCAATCGACATGATCGTAGGCTTTTTCAAAGTCTATCTTAAAAATGACCCCTTCTTGCTTCCTTTTCCTATAATCTTCAATAGCCCCATTGGCGATAAGCACCTAATCCAAGATTTGACACCCTTCCACAAAGGCGCCTTGTGTCACAATCGCACCTTTTCAAAGCAGCTCGAGCGATTGTGCGGCACTTGCTCTAGCTCAAACGAGCAAGTCAGCCGGGAAAAACTGTAAGTTGCGGACAATCTCGGTCGTGGGTCTAGCCTCCGCTCACGTTTTAGGAGAAAATTGGTTTTAGAAAACGTGAGAGAGAAAAACAGTTGAAAACATCTTTAAAACAAGCATTGTAGACATTGGATGCAAGAAAGCTTTGATTGCAAGAAAGTATACAACACTTGGTCGGGGGGATGTTTGATGACTACTTGGTCCCCCCTAAGGTACATTATAAGGCATTTTTGGTGTGGCAGGTGTAGACGTCCTAAGTGGCGAGGAGTCACTCGGTGGCCTACAGGGCCCGTGTGAACTCCGATTGGCTTGAAATTTGGCGTGCTTACATATCTTACTAATACACACCTAGTTCCAAAGCCGCTCGGCCAAAATCCACCTACAACCCCAAAAACCCGATACAAGAAAATTACACTAGAAAGCTTTAAAGACATGAAAGGAAAGCGAGTGGTGAGGATGGTTTGGACATGCGGCCATGGGTAACACACCCTGGACAAGCATGCCCACAACACCTTGCGAGTCCAAAATGGTACCTGGCAAAACTTTCTTAAGTCTATCCGCCAAAGTTTTAGCAATAATTTTGTAAAGACTCGTAAGTCGTAACTAAGCTAATGGGCCCGAACTCTTTGACCTTGGAAGCATTCTCCTTTTTCGGGATCAAGCAAAGATAAGTTTCATTCATGGAAGAATCAATAATACCCCTCTCATGAAATTCCCGAAACACCTTGAACAAATCCTCCTTAATTCTTTCCCAATTGTCTTGGTAAAAAGCTAGGGAGAACCAATCGCGGCCTGTCAAAATCGAATAGCACTTTCCTGATCTCCTCCAAAGAAAAAGGAGCCTCCAATCCTTCCTTATCTGAAGCTGAGAGGACTCCAATCTAACCCCACAAGAAAAGGTATAGGGTTAACCACCAGGGCGTATAACTTTGAGAAAAAAGCAAGTACCTCAGCTTCTATCTCTGAGTCTTCCTTCACCACTTCCCCATTCTCAGCCACCAGGTGATCAATCACATTTTTGTTCTTTCTCCCATTAGCCACATTGTGGAACAACCTCAAGTTGCAATCTCCCTGCCCAACTCACCTTGGCTTTCTGTCTCCAACTCACGTCCTTTAACTATTAGACAAGTTATTTTAAACCCTAATAATTCATAGTCTCTCAATAAAATATTGAAATATAAATACTTTAATTCCATCTAATTCTTTTATGTCTCGTGGAAGGCAATAATTCCCTATTATAAAGCAACAGGCATGAAAGATAATGAACCAAATTGTTTTTGGAAAACAAAAAATTTCCAAACATAACTTACCACAAGATTTAAATGAATAGGAACACATCCATCGGGAGCGGGAGCATAGTTACCATCACGAATACCTCTCGACGCACTATATCTGTCCAGAAAGATCAATATTTGAAGTTAACTTTTTACCTTGACATCGCACTTCCTGACTATGGGAAACTGCATCGTGTTTGCAGAAGAATGTAGGACATTATCTATCTCTCTTTTTTTAACAAGAAACAAGAACTTCCCACTGAAATTTTAAAAGCTAGAAGCTGTCAAGTATCAAAAAATATACCAAAATAGATAAGAAAGCCCCACTAGGCTGAAAATTTAAATTTGTAACCTAATTGCATGAAAGTTTTCCAATTAGAAATAATCTCATTGATTGAATAATTTTGAAAATATCTGGAAAGAACGCATCATGACTTTCCAATAGAAATATAGAAAATTATCACAAGAAGGCGATCACGGTTGCATACAGTGGTAATATAAAATCAGGCTGTGGAGACCTGTAATCGGTT